TTTGTCGACGGGGGGGGGGGCATTTTGTATTATCATTGCTTCCCTAGTTCCGGTTTACAAATCTCACTCTGGTAAAACTTGTGAACTCTTGTGAAGCTGAAGTAAGATCGTCTAGCCACTATCCTAAAACGTGTCAACTCGAGAAACGGCTACCTAGATGGGTCGACACATCTATGGAAAGCAAAATGCCCCCTCGTCGACAAACTGCGCCGAAAAGGTTCTGGAACGATTAAATTTATTCATACAGTAACTAACCATAAATAGCCCTTTTATTCATATGAAAACCAAAACCCTCACCTCCTTGACCTAATCATCTCACCCATTTGGAATGGAATGAGAACCATTCATTGTGTAAACTTTATATCGTATTGCTAGAGTCAACTGCGCCACTTCATTTCAGGGTGGTAGAGCTTCACTGCAAGAATGCGGCTATGATGGGTTTCATACGACATCTACAAGCACGTCTGACTGATTATCGTTGGCGATTTGCTCCGGCCGTTTATGCACGACTCGCCAGGAGTGATCGTAGCGCTATACCTCTCACAGTGGACATTCCTAAGGAAGAGGTCGGTAAGTGCGGACCACATCTTGATTCATTATTGAGAGAAATCTTGGAACGTGTTGAGAATGGAAGCTTCCGAAGACTGAAACCTCCCAGACTGGGTGCTCAGCAAGGACTATTGGGAGGAGAGAATTGGGGAGAGTGGGAACGAGACGCGAGACGAAACCAGGTCGCGTGTGTGCACTCACCGACGCCATCCAAACACCTTGCACACTATCTTGCTGGGGAGGCAGGGGCGAAAGGTGAATGGGCTTGACCTGACCTCGCTGTGAGTTGTTCCTTGTCTTACTAAATCGCCCCCCACCCCCCTTCCCGTGTGAATCATGATCCGCACGTTTCCACAATTCCTCGCACAGTTGATATTGGTGACCCGTACCCTGCTCCCTTCTGTATCGGTGATGAGGCGGTTTGTATTGAAGCAAAACCTCTTCGCGTGGTGCATATGGCGCGGCGCGCTTAGTTAATTTGGGCCTTCTATGGACCGTGTGCTTCGCGCGACGTTCATGGAAGGCAACAAGGTTCCATGGAGACATGAGTTCCGCTCCTGTACTGCACGAGTGCATGGGTAAGGTGGGGAAAGGAGCGCCCTCCACGACCTGCCTTACAGTGAATGTCGGTATAGCGCGAAGAGGTGAGGTGTAGGTGCAAGGCCCCTTCTCGGGACCGTCGGGGCAGATTCTATCGTCGGCAAGTACGCCCACACATCGCGTCGCGGCGTCTCGCGCGGCGGCGCGGTGCGACAATTCCGGAGTTGCATTACCGACATACAAATGAGTCTCGAAGACCGCGTATTCACAAGTTCCGAAAAGCCCAAAATTGGATCAGTAATTTTGAGCAAATAACGTGGGACCAGTCTTACACCCCTTTACTTTTGAAATGCGGAAAAAACAGGTCATGATCATCAATAGGAAATGAGACAAAGTACAGGACTAACATGACAGTACTGGCTTTATGAACATTTTAACAATTCAACGAGGCACGGCAGCAGGCTCTCGTATGCGGCGGCCACCACGACGGCACCCACCTTATCACCGACGACTAGATATTGCCGCACACACCGAACAGTTTTCGTCGGCGACTAACGGTGAGAAAATTTATTCGAGCATTCTCGTCTGGTGGGTCGACATATGCCAAAAAATTCCATTGGAATCAGTTGGGGCTCTCGGTGCGACAATCCGCGCCATGTGACCACTTAGAACGTCGCGCCGTCCGCATATTCATGGTACAATCTCGAACACTACCGCTACTAGGCTTGCCTCTAACGGTAGCCGTACTGTTAGTCAGTTTTAAAAGCAAAATAAACTGTTATCGAGAACTGTCCAACTTTCAGATCTGTATTTGCGAAATGTACTAGAACTGCTTGCGAGGGAGTTTTACGATATCAACTTCGCTAAAGGAGTTCCGCAACACAAACGAGAACATGCCTGGGATGTTTTGGAGAAGTATCTAGGCTTCCTACTCGTTAGGCGGCCAAGTACAATAAGCGGAGCTGGGAACGGTGTTTTTGTTGAGAAAGGTTAGTAATTCTGCGCTGTTAGCAGCCGGTCGCGCCACGATTTTCAGCGAAAGTTGCGATGAATTCCAGGAAAGATCTCCTCACACGCCTTGGTTTCTATGTACCCTGGCACAATCTACGACCCATGGGACTCAATACTACTGCAAGTCGCTGGGAAACCATTTTATTTTACGTTGTCAAGATGGAGTTATTGTAGATGGCAACGATGTGCGATTATCTCGTCGAATACATCGTTCATGCTGTTATAGAGACCTTGCTCCTGACGTCAGCGACTTGACATGGCTTGAGGTATGCATATTGTGGATGTTCATAGCGGAATTAACCACAATGAACTCTTCAAACGAATAAATAGGACAGAGTACCTGGGCGCTCATCGATCCCTTTGATAAGCACAAGACTTAAGGAATCCGCCATCTTCAAGTCAGTATTTCCATCAAACAAACTTACACCAGTCTACTGACGGTAGACTTGGCGTTAACTGGGCGATCCCAGAGACCACGTGTACGGTACGGGGCTTCTAGTCACGCCTTCTCCATGGAACATCGCGGCCTCCACCTTGGAAGCCTTTACAAGGTATCACACTGGGTAAACTCCGTCCAAAAATCGTACATCGATAGAGAAATATAGAGGCATTGTTTGAAGGCACGCTTTGCTATTAGGTGCGGAGTTGTACTGCTTGCGGAATCAAGTAGCTAGGTCCGCGGTGGTAGCAACTGCACCACTTTCGTGGCGCGAAAGCGAGCGATAAGGACACGGGTATGTTGCAAGAGAATCGTAATTCGCCGCGCTGCGCGCGACGTGGTGGGCGCCGCGTGCGACGTCGCGCCGCAAATGACGATGGTTCCAGGTAGTAGATGGCGACAACAGGCAATTCAGAACCGAAAATAGTCATGAATGTCTACGATGACGGGGTCTACATGAAGTCCGGTGCTCCAATCGACAGGTTAACACGAGTTAAGAAAACGCCGCGCCCATCGCCGCGCGCGGCAGAGCGGCAAATTACGATTCTCTTGCCCGTCTCCTCAAGGACACTCACTCATGCCATCGTTCCTTTCACTGGTCCGATTCACCTTCATTGGCTCCGCCCCCTCTACCAAGTCAGATTTATAGGAGACCCCCAAAGAACGTAGGCAGGGACATTGTTGTCAATAAGAAATCAGATGTGATCAGTTGCGAAAACCATATAGACCACAACATCATTGCACGGTGATCTCGTCTGATTACACCCTTCAGTCGCCTTCTTCTCGTTAAAATGCGTTCGCTAGTGGGTTTTACTTGGAGCATTGGCGACGACCCTCTTCTGTTTTTTCTCCGCCCATTGACTTTCTTGGCATCTGCTCGGATCTGCTCGCGTGCTCTGCCTTTAAGGAATGCACGGCACGACAACACAGCACCGCAGGTTGAAGCATGTAGAGCCAAACTGGCTTGAAATCACTGCTAGTTTCTGCGCCTTGCCACAACTTGAATCTTCCAACCGACGCTTGAAATATAGCTTACGAATCCAATGTTAGTTTCTTAGTGCCAGCTGGAAAACCCTGCGCAACTCATAGCTTCTGCTGTGAGATATACTCGAAATCCCTGAGATCGGGTAGGCGGAGCATTCGAACACTGTAAGGAACTGGTTACTAGTGGAATATTCCAGTCTGGGACAACTGTCATCTTGTTCTGTGTTGGACAGAGACACGACAACGATTGTGTCGAGGTGAAAATATCGCATCAGAAGCGTAAACGCCTTAAGGATAAGTTGAAACATGCGGCCACGCCTACCCGATCTCAGGGATCTCGAGTGTATGTGGCACTGAACCATAGTCAAGACTTCAGAATGCAGCATTCTTTTGGTAATGAGTATTAGCCCATCTGCTCAGATATATTTACAGAACCTTTCATAGCAGCACAAAGGCACTCATTTATTCCTAATTCAGTTGGGCGTGGCGTGAACCTAAGATTTCAGGATGAGCCTTTCAACTATCTGAACATGGGTCAGTACATCAACAACGAACCTGGGCCAAATCTGCACAATGTTCAGTATTTCGATTTGGACATTTACAACTGGCCACAAAGGCTGCGGAAGTTTCTGCCATTCGTCGCTTATTCACCCCATCGAACAGCACCACTCCGGGTAGTGGTTCTGATTTCAGTGAGGGAAATCGTTGAAGGCGAAGAGTTGTTTTCGGCTTATATATCAAAGTAAGCCCTTAAACGAGAATATCTGACGTAACGCTGAATTGAGGCACTTTGTAGAGGGCCGGAGAAGTATCCCATTTGGTCACGTTCATCCTAACCGAGTGTCGAACTGGAAAGTTAGAAACCTGGGAAATGATCGGGAGAGTCGAGGAGGCACGGGAAGAGGTCTGAATACAAACTGATTAATTCGTCGGCTTTCTTGATTAGGCCGCATCTGGACACGTCTTGCCAATGGGAAGTTTTTCTTGCAAAATATTGACGCCGTCGGAAGTTCCTCATGCTGGTAGCGACCCCCCTGCGCTCCTTCCTCATTACACCTACTAAGTTTCTTCAACTTGTTACCACTTTTCTGGGGTTTTCCTGGAATGCTCTTAGTTGAACCACGACATCACCGAGGGACCTTGCGAAAATGAAAAATCATAGGTCCACTACAATCCCTCTCGATGGCGATTCCGCAGTAATGTTGTGGAGAGCTCAGTACGCCCTGGGTCAATTTCCTCCTGACCTCCATCAGATATCTTTAAAAAGTGCGAAAACTACTTGACTGCCGTCCAGCCGTCTTCTTTTCTTGTATTATTTCAGCAATCAGCTAGTTCCTTTTTTCTAGTCCTTCTCTTTTCCCTATTCTTCGAAGTTATTTTTTTTTGGTCACTACACACAATTCGTTTGATTGTTTTCTGTAACCGCATACAATAACGTTGCAATCAGAGCGGGCGGTGCGCAATCTATTCCCTCCTGACCTCCATCAGATATCTTTAAAAAGTGCGAAAACCACTTGACTGCCGTGCAGCCGTCTTCTTTTCTTGTATTATTTCAGCAATCAGCTAGTTCCTTTTTTCTCTCAGAGCAGAAGGGGCTAAATTTGGCGCCGTCCTCTTGCTGTCTTGCTCTACCAATAGTGATCGGTTGATGATCGATACAGGAATAAACAACCAGTGGTGGAAAGGCCGCGGGTGGGGTCTTTCCATCCCTCTGGAAACTGCCCCGACTGATAGCGACGTTATCAACATTGAGTGTCCTTGTTACTATTATCCTTGCCTTTTCGTTTCTTCCTCCCTTTATGGCAAGACGGCCGTTATTCTCCCAGCTGATGTCAACTCAGAGTAAATACGTTCGAAATGACTTTCAACACAAACTCTTTTGATAAGGAGTCTACCTTTGAGAACTACCTTTTTAATATGTGTATGTCTCACCATATCTTTCCATTTTTCATGTTTATTCATCACTTCTCACATTTATTGAATCCCTAAAATCACCCAGAAATCTTCGTGTCGAACAGGTTGCTCAATGGAACTGCTAACTTTCTTCAACTGTTATCGTGAGTAATCAAGAAAAAAAAACCACACAGAGACCAGAACATAATAAATTGGCAGAAAAGTGCGAAAATGTGCATATGCAGATATGTGAATAAAGAATGACTTGAAAGTGTTTTGTTCCACAAAAACAGGCAAAAATTGCCTAGTGTTCCCAATAAGGTGTACGAGATGCATGTGCGAAAGGATGTGTGTGAAAATGGCAGTCAAAATTATTCTGAGCAGACGTTAAGAAAGGAATGATCAATAAAGCACATTAAAATTCTCATAACAATCTATAGAATTACAATAGTGACATAATAAGTGTCAAGACCCAAATTCAATCACTGGGTGTTACAGAGTGTGTATTTTTCCTAAATTAACCTGCGGTCACTGACCGCAGTTTTCAATGGCTAGGCATTGTGAAAGTGGTGAACACAAACAAAGTGGTGCTTCAAGAAATGGGGAACATTGTGGTGTACAAGGCAGCTTCTATGCTTAACTAGTCGCCTTCCAGTCGATCTTTGTACGTGCGCGGCGAGATGTGTCGCAAAGGGTCACTACGCGACGTCGCGCTATTCGAGAGTTTTGCGTGCGCGTCAATCTGTGCGAAGCATCTGCTCGCTGAGCATGGGGAACGCAGAAATGGAGAGAAAGCATACATATGGATGAGAGCGGTGACGCTTGGACCAATTGCGACGAAGTCCGCGCGCTCAGACTGCGCGACGTCGCGTAGTGACCTGACGCGAGCAGGACAACTCGTCCGTCGGGCGGGCGCTGCTTGCCACACCCACCGTGTGACATATTGCGATTGTCCTGTCACATAACCCCGAGCGAGGAGCAAGGTCAGTTTCGTAACAAGCCGCACAAATGGACCTACGACCAGCTTCGTCAAGCATAAGAGGAGCCTTACATCAGCGTTCTCATATCTCATTAACGGTGATAACGCCGCTACTTGATTATAATGTCCCCTTTTGCCGGTTTTTTTTTTTCCCGCCTCCACTATATCTCGTTAACGGGTCATAACGCCGCTACTAAGGTTAGTTTCCTTTTGCTGAACCTGTATTGTTGAAAGGTGTTTTACTTCAATGACCGGCTTTGCTACGTCTTCTGATCTGCCCATGAGTGTTCATATCTTCGATTTACAGCCCTCGGTACATCTGAACAATTATGACTGATCTATTGAGGCCATTGCGGTTAAATATTTACGAGAGAAAAGTATTTGACGAGAGCAGCGTTGAAGGCAAAACCCGCGATCATTCGCCATCACAGATAGTGGACTAGGGGTTCGAGGACAAGGTTCTGAGCAACTCGATAGTGAAGAAAAAAAATAGCAAAAGCATGCCACTGCTCTAGATATAACCCCGTTCCGATCCCAGTTCGTACGTGCCCCATCAGCTCCATCTCCAACACTGCGTCCTCATCCGCACAGCTGATTCCCCGGAAGAGCTCTTTGACCGTACGAGTGACGATTTTCCTGCTTTTTCGTCTTGCAGCCAGGGCACGCCATCGCGTTGTGATCATTTCCTGGAAAATACGACCCCCCCCCTCCCCCGTGCTACCTACCACTTTCCTAGATTTTCCCAACTTCTCACCCAACTTCTTTTCATTTTTTCCGCAAAAAAATTTCCAGTTTCAAGCCCAGAATTTTCGATGTAGGGGGGAAGGGGGAGGGGGGAAGGTCGTCAGGATATAACTAACCAATTTCAAAGCTATCGAAAAACCCAGTAAAAACTTGTATAGATCTTTGGCAGTCCCTAATCTAGACAATGGCCGCTCGACTCCCCGACCCCCTTACTACCGTCCCGTGACAAGAGAAATCAACTACCAAGATTTTTCTCTCCATCAAACACGCACCCCCCCTACCTGCGCGGTCAAATGCGATCCCCCGGTTGTGCTGGCGTGCCCTGCTTTGCGGCGTTCTTTTTCATTGGAAGGCCGATCCTTGAACGGCGGAGTCTGGAGGCGGAAGTCAACTGGGGGAAAGGAGGGTCACTGGACGCTACCTATATTGCTCCTCGCATATACAATTTTTTTTGCTACGAAACCGGTACAGTGTTGTTCGTCGCGGCCCACACTAACCTCCCGAAGCTATATTTTCAATTTCTATACCTGATCGCGGAGCGTGCTTTTAAGGCACAAACTGCTGTTCTGTGCAAAAATGCTCAAGGTACTAACCGACAAGGTATTCCAAATGTTCGTTGCCTGCAATGACTTCTTTTTGAATAAGCAAACCACTAACCTCTCTCCTGAAAGACAACGCATATTTGAGTTGCCTTCACTAAATATCAATACGAAAAATCTAGATGGCAATTCGACAAAGGGTGATACCAAAGGACTGGCCAAGGTTCAAAAATGGGGAGTTTGTAGCGGGTCCCAAATACTGATGGCCAGGTTACAAGCAAGAAAAACCAGCCGAAATTCCCTTCATAGAAGTCCACTCTGAACAATGTTTGCACGTGCACAAGGAAAAAAGGCAAAGTTGGACTAGTCCTCACTTGTTGATGTCAGTTCTTTCTCTTTATCAGCTCACCCTCAACCAGGGCATGTCATCGCGTCGTGATCATTTCTGAAAAAAATACCGAACTCCGCTAATTCCATTCTGCAATACGACTCCCCCCATGCACCGCAGCTACCTACCACTTTTGTTAGATTTTCCTCGCACAACCAAGTTTTTCCAAAATTTTCCCGAAAAAGCCCTGGTTTTTTCTTACAAAAAAATCAATACTGGTCAAAAAAGTTGCCTCAAGAACCAAAATACGACCCCTCCTCGCGTCAGTACGACTCCCACGTCGTGACCATCACAACGCTAGGCATGCCCTGCCCTCAACCATTTGACTAGGAGAGAGAAAATGGAACTATCGCACGATTAGGTAGCAGTTTAAAGCGATAGCTGGGCGTCGCTGTGGTCAGTGGGCGGGTTCGTGATTCCGCTGCGAGCAAGCGGCGCTTTCCTCATGGCTTTTTGAGCTGCAAAATGAATATATCCCCACAGTATGCCCTTGCGTACAGAACGACTTCCGCTCAAATGTGTCTGAAAATCAAATGACTGCAGGATGGAGATGACTCACGCTACTTTCAATTATCCCTAGTCGTGAAAAAAGCGAGATCATGGGTTACCATGTTGCCGCGTGTGAATAAGACTTTTGCTTCCAATGTCGGATTAACGCATGTATGATTGAAAAATCTGAAACTTCCACGGGAAAACTCGGCTCAATGGAAAGGTCCTTTTCAAGACACAGCATAAGTTGAATTCTCAAAAATTCTTAGCACTCACCGGCGATATGTTGCCGCTCCATGTTCCGTCAATAGCATATCTCTGACTCCCGCCTCACTTGTTCCTGTTAACATTTAAGATGATGTTCCACGCCCACACAATTTTCCCCAGATCTCGATTCTAGTCATGTTCTCGATAGTTTTTCCAACTAGGATATATTGTGGATGTTATGTTCTGGCGCATTTGCTCCTACCGCTAAGCGGACCATCCATCCTTGTAGTCGATTAAAGGCAGTTGGCACTATAAATCCCCAAGACGAGTAGGATTAATACGCCTGGCAGGACGGAATTCCGCGACCCTGAGCAGGCGCTGCATAGCGCCTTTCCAAGAAAGGTGCCCTTATAAGGGCCTATTAAGCCACATTAAGCTTTACTTTCCTAAGACGCCGCGTCCACGTGCCCGACCGTTCTCACAAATGTGACCGACCGTTCCTGATGTTTGCCTTCATATCATTGTTGCTAAGCAAATATGAAGCGAAGGGATTGGTATGAAGCGGCCGTGATGCTGCATGATATATGAGTACACATATGCAGCCGTATCTTCGGTAGCGGTGATTGGTAAGATGCCTACGGGAAACTCGTCCGAAATCGATTTTCAAGTCACTGAGAACGGAGGCTTTTTCTTCGCAGGATTTTGACCGTTTCACTCCGTTTCTTTCGCCCGATAAATTCACCCCCTAGGATAGCGGCGCGTACTAGCTTAGGCGCGCAGTAGTCAGATTATCGTGCACACTGCCTTAATTGAGTAAGCCATATCGATATGCTGCTACGACACTGACAATAGATGTGAAGAGGTAGGAAGCATAGCGCAAGACAGCAGATCTACGCCGAAATTTTTTCGGAAGGATAGAAAGGCTATTTGACCTGAACAGGATTCAACCTCAGCGGACTGCCCAAGGAAGTGCCAGTGGCGCTTCTCGTGTGTTGCTAGTGAAGGTTACCAGTTATTTTTCGTAAAGAAGAACTCACATTTATGTCGAATACATAGGTGTTGTCGTATAATGACTGATCATCAATTGTGACCATCTGAAATTAGCCATATGGAAGAGAGAATCACCGGCTTAAAGTTGCCATCAGGCACGCCTCAACGCGTTTGCGACTTCGCTCTCCTACATATACTCGAAATCCCTGAGATCGGGTAGGCGTGGCTGCATGCTTCAACTTAACCTGAAGGTGTCTATGCTTCTGGTGAGATATTTTCATCTTGACACAATTGTTGTCGTGTCTCTGTCCAACATAGAACAAGATGACAGTTGTCCCAGACTGGAATATTCCACGAGTAACCAGTTCCGTGCCATGTTCAAATGCCACGCCTACTCTGGCTCAGGGATAAGGAGTGTAGATGTTCACACGCTTGCAGCGTCTTTGCCCATCCTTCCGTTCACACTACTCTGTCCTTTGCCTCTTTTCGATTGTTGATCATAAATGGATGGTTCAAACCAAGCTGGGAGAATCCCATCAGGGGTCGTACTTGGTCGCCGGCGAGAGGTATTTTGTTTTCAACGAAGATTTGCGTTTCGGTACATAACCTAACCCCCCCCCCAAGAGAAGAAATTCGTTGTGGAGGGGGTTGTACTGACACTACCATTTTCTGCATCACGATACTATGCTTCTAACTCTCTCACAGTGATTTCAACACACATTTTAATGCTTTGAGTTGTCGAACAGTGAAGCAGTTTCTAGTTAGCTATACTAGTGCTCCCGCAAATTAAGATGCAGAAGCAATAGGCGAAGGAAACGTACGTGGCCAGCATAGAGCCCAAGAAAGGTTCCCAGCTGGGATTTTCACAGGTGCAATGACTCCCCAACCTTTCGTTCTCGTATTGAACAGCACCAGAGGAACTTGACGCTCTTCCTGAACCAAGGGCAAGTAATACTTCGAGATCTAAAATTTCAACTGAAAATTGTGAAGTTGCTCACTCGAAGATACGCAGATGGACAAGAGTCATCACATCCACATGCCTGTCCGCACATCATGACGCTGTTGTTCTGGAACGAGATCCTGCAGAAATACATCTCGGCACTTGCAAATTATAAATTATGGGGAAGCTGGTGTCGATCGGTCCCAAGACTAAGGCGACCCTGGCGACTCTGCAGCTACCCTAGTTGGGGGAACAAGGGGATGGTGGGGAGAGGACCGCTTGGCTGCGCCTCTGTCTCCCTCTCCCTAACCAAGAATCAGGCTTTGTTATCAATACGTCTCTCTGCAGAACTCTCACTCGACAACTCTGGTCGCCGGCACTCCTAAGCGTTGCTCAGGGGAAGAGAGACAGAGTGCGCTCCCACTTCCGCACCCCCCACCCAACCGCGTTAGCGTCGCGGCTCTTTCGAACGATAACACGCCTTTCAAAAGCAATCACCTTTTTGTACACAAGGCAGGGGCATCTGCCCACCACACACTTCTGTCGTGGGCATTCACAACCACCTGTACGTTCTGGATACATGTAACGCAGTCGTGCTCCTTCAGCAATAACTTCTCGCTGTAGACGTACGGAAATTGTACTTCTTGGCAAATACTGCAAAACACTCTACGGGCTATTACAAGGGAATATACGAAGTGGCAAAAACCAGAGAAGGCGAATGAAACCAACGTCGAAGTTCAACATTGAAGGTTGTTTTCTTGTCCAGCTTTCTATGAATATCGGGGCTATACCAAATGAACGTAGGCGACGATTGATTCTCGTCTCAGTTATTCGAAGGTCGACACGCCATTCTTTCTTAACAAGAATCTCGTTCAAATGTCTACAATTTCTTAGTGGTGTGTTCAAAGCTCCTAACTTGTATTTATAAATAGTTTCTAACATTTGCAATTATCGGCGGGAAAAAGACAGGTAAGCATCCCTTCAGGAAAGATGGTAGTAGATACGGGAGGAATATGGAAGGAGAAAGGGGGGGGGGGGGAAGAGACGGAAATTTTGCAGGTTTTAATTCTGACAAACCTTCCTCCAACTCCCGGACTGATTTTGACCCAGCTATGGGGCACTAAACTAAGCAAAGAACTCGCATGTCGAAAACTGACTGTAACCTCGAACTGGCGATTTACCGGTCTCGAAAGCTTCGACAACATCCGTAGGGTTAGTTTGGTTTCAGTGCAAGTTCCGTACGCGTGTATTAATGGATGATCATCAAACAAATAATTAATGCTGTTTATTTTTTCTCCAGTCAATCCTATTTAGTCTGGTTGAAGGCGCCAATATATTGTCTTGGGATTTAGTCGACTCTATACGACCCCCCCCCTTTTCTGGGAGGTGGTACGACCCCCCAGCCCTCTGTTCCTTCCTCATCGAATCGAGCCGTCGAGCGGCGGGGAGGGGGACGGGGGCATATAGTACGCATGAAACAGGAAAATCACCAAAAGTCAAACCAGCCCTCCCTAACAAGCGCAAGACGTAACAATACACTACAATCGACGTCTGAAATGCTTTGACAGTGAATTTTTCTCAGCTTTGGTCTTAGGCTATTGGCTCGCCTCTTAGAGAGACAAGCGCTCAACTACTGTGTGCCGTGCGTCTGTTCGCAAGGACGTGAATCTCCCGATCAACTACCACTTTTAGTTAACATGGCTGTACTATTTTGGCTTGGGGCAGTGCACAACCGATTTCTTGAAGATGGAGAAGGGCATGGCTAGCGAACTTAATTCAAACGTGGCATGAGATGTATTTTTATGGGGTATTTCTAGCGGCAGCGCAACGGCATCGAATAAATCTACACCGCCCCCCTCCCCTCTCCCAACACCGTGTTTGTGTGGTTTGCTCGCTTTAGGTATAGCATAATTCAGTAATTCTCAGAATACCTTGAAATTCAGGCGCCGATTGCTGTTGGGATATTGCTGACGGAATGTGCACGGAGACCGCTTTTCCATGGCTATTCTCATATTTTCTATCATTCGCTCGCGTTCTTCGAATGCAGCTGCCTGAATAAGGAATTTTCCTTGATTTCTGCCCCTAATCAAAATATATTGAATATTATGGTCTTCGTCATCTTATGTACTCAGTAACTGTAGCGATAGGGAGGGACAAAGAGACAACCATACCTCTTCTTGATTTCCTAGCTGAGAGCGCATTACTCTATAGTGACAATGCCATCTACGGCCCTCCAACGTTACCACAAAAGAGCGATCTCCCTGAAAATTGGATCACGAAAATTTGACTAGAGACGTCAGCGCAAGAACTCATCCCTTGAAAGAAAACACATTTTACAAAAATAGATCAAAACTGAAAAACTTCGGTGCTCATACCTTGGGGTGACTACATAACTTCCAGTCCATTACCCTGCAAACTCCTGTCAAGCTTGACGAAATGGTACTAGTGGCAATGGAACGTATTTTTTTTTACTTTCTTCCCTCCAGATCTCGATCAGTCATATTGAGAAATTTGACATGAGCTTGCAGAACAGGAACATTTGGGGAATCCCCAATAGGGGGATCGTATTTGGCCGCCAGAGAGGGGGGGGGGTCGTATTTGGGCTGAGAAAAATTTATTTTGATAGTTGATTTTTCTCGCTTCACGGACGTTGTAAAGGGGAGGGGGGGGGGGGGTCATACTTGCTGCAGAGGGGAGGGGTCGATTCACTTTTTGACCCTTAGGAGGGTGTTGACTTTCGTGATTTCCTGTTTCATGCTACTATATGCTCACTTCACGACTGCAAGTAAATTCCACTAGAAAAACATCGGCGTTCACGGTACTACATACCAATGCAAAAAGGTGAAAATGATAACGGTTACAATGTCCTCGGTTTAACTGGTAAAGTACTGCTAACTGTTGTTCCCCTTAGAAGGTATTCAGGAAATGGCCCTGTAGCAAGTTGTCCGCCAAGGTCCGGGATTCAATCTCGGCTTGGCGCTCACTCAGGCCAACAGGCCTGCCCTCTGGGGCCGGGAATGAGGCAACAGATTCGCCAGGGAGAATAAAAACACTAAAGTGTACATAGGCTAACTCCGCATGTCATTCTGTAGGCCATATCGCGTTCAAAGGGACCTGTGATTTCTAATAAAAATGGAGTGCATGGCGCAATCCAAAAGCATTAATCAACGATGAGAGCTTCAACCATTACCCTTTGGCGCTGTTCCAGCCACGTACTTTCACTGGTATGCATCAAAAAGAACACTTAGAAAATCCTACTCACCAAGGGAGTGGGCGGTCGAACTTTCAGAATGGCGGAAATACGAATTGGCAGTGGCCATGAAGAGCGCTGTGCAGTCGTTGGCTGCTCCTCATCTGGACTTCGGAAATTGGCCCACAGAGGGGAATACAATGCGGGATCTAAATCAGGAACAGTATTAGGCACAAGAATAAAGCAGAACTAACCAAAGGAGCGTGTTTGTTCCCATGTAACTTCCTGTAGAAACTGAAGTATAGGGGGCGCTATTAGGATTAGGTCGAGAAAGGGGTATTTTTTACCTTCGCTAGTTCTTTTCGTGAGTCGATGATCATCATATAAGTGAAACTTGTAAACTTGTAAGCTGCGAAGTGGTATAAGTGGGCCACTTTAGTGCTGGTCTAGGCTGTCTAGTGTATACAGGGATCCATCAAGGCGTGTTAGGGAATGGTCCGGAGCCCAGCGGCAATCGCATTTTCTACCGATTGTTGCGAGTCGGACAAGGCTATTATCATATCTGTTTCGTATGGATACGCTTGGCGCTGGCACTTCAGGCGCTGTGGACAAGTTCCCAATAAAGTTGGCAACTTTGACCGCATATGGCTCGCTTGTCAAGTTCAGCTAACTACAATGGCTTCCATATTTGTAAGCAACGCCCCAACTTTCCACCGATATAAAAGTCTTCATCCAGAATTCTATGGAGTCGATCCTTTCGTTCGCTTGGATTGCCACTTTGTTCGCTGCAGATGATAGCGGCGTGTCAAAATGGGGATAGGTTTGATGAGCGGGCACTAGGCCCGTTTCTTTTTTTTATAAATCAGTAAGCAAAAAAAAACTTTTATGTCGTTCATGTCAGTCGTTTTCCACAAGGTATTGTCGGTGACAGCGCCCGCGATCGCCTTTCACAGGCTGTAGAGCTCGGAACCATTAGATCATGTTGCACGTACAATACTAACGAAGAAAAAAAAAGCAAAAGAAACCGTCGAAAATGCCCTAAAAAATGATCTCTTAGGGATTAAAAATGGACGAGTTGATTAAACTTTGAGCGAGTTCTCCGTATGTAATCGACCCATTTACTGCGCTCATCTCAGCAGGCGTACTCGATAGATTCGCAATTATCATGCTAACAAATATTGGTAATAAATGACTGAAGTGGACTTGTTGATTCCGCCTTCATAGGCGGAATCAGTTTATTGTTGCTCTGGATCATTTATTTATTTTTTATTTTATTTATTTTTTCAGTTTATTCTGCTTCTGGTGGTCTTCATCAGGCGCTTTTGGGCTGCGCAAAATGTATATCCGCTGTGACACAAGGCTCTGCCATCTCGATACCTCAAAGGATTCGCCACCCCGCGGTTGACGCGGACGCTCTCTTAAACAACTGGGTGGAGCTGGGCGTCGGCGCAAAACTCGCGCTTGAAACGCCCACTCATGCACAAGTCGAAACAGACGGTTACGCAGGCACATCGTTTTGGCGGAATCCCCAGTGGGGGGGGGTCGTATTTGCGGACTGAGCAGATTATATTTTTTGATATTGATTTCTCCGCCTCAATTGACGCTTAGAGGGAGGGGTCGTATTTGATCATTTGTGGGAGGGAAGGAGGGGGGGGGTCGTATTTACGTTTTGGCGTTGTGGGAGTGGCGGTTGACTTTTGGTGATTTTCCTGTTTCACGTACTATATGCCCCCCCGCTCGACAGCAAAATTTTTGGTAAAAAGTAGGGAAGTTTTCGGGAAATTTTGGAAAAAAGGGGCAGGAAGTTGGGGAAAATCTGATTGTAGAGGGGGTCGTATTGTCTCGCGGCTTTTCCTGTTTCACATGTGCTATTTACCCTCCCCCCCCCCCGCTCGACGGCTCGATTCGATGAGGAAGGACAGAGGGCGGGGGGGGGTCGTACCAACTCCCAAAAAAGGGGTCGTATAGAGTCGACTAAAATCCCCAACCAATGATGTGCCCTGCTGTACGAGAAGAATGCCTTCAAGGGAGACCAATCGCAGGTACACCTCACGTACTCGTCTTCATTCCCGGTACATGCCATTACTGATGTGTTAATTGAAAATGTAACCAAACGATGTACTGTACCTTGAGTCCGCAAAATTCTTCTCGTATCAGTTGAGCCCGATCCGACTCTTGTCCTATGTTTACCTCTACAGCTATCTGGAAAATGGATTGCATAGATGTGGTACCACTAATAAAGATAGAAACTGACCGCTACGCATGTCTACTTCTACTTGCTCGCGGCCAACAGCTCCATCATGACTCGGACATACGGCTCCCGAAATTCTGAAAGAATCTCATTCATCAAGTGAACCAGGCAGTGATTTAGTGACCCTATTGAAAATGAAAGTATTGAAAGCTCTACTCACGTGTCTGGTTCGCTAAATCGATGTGACGAATGTGACACTACATTATTACCGCCGTTGCTCGCCTCGATATCACGTTCATCGGCTGCATCTGTAAACAACCCAGTTATGAATCTCAGCATGAGACCAAAGGTTCATTCGGATACATGATGGTAACTGAGTTAGACGAGCACAGTTCCGAGTAGCAGTGCCAAGGGCTCGTAGGACGTATGATACAGGTAACATGAGGGTAGATGAATTTTTTGGCGCTTAGCGACGGGGGGGGCATTTTGTACTAACATTGCTTCCCTAGTTCCGGTTTACGAATCTCACCATGGTAAAACTTGTGAACGCCTGTGAAGCTGGAGATCGTCTAGCCACCATCCTAAAACGTGTCAACTCGAGAAAAGGCTACCTAGATGGGTCGGCACATCTATGAAAAGCCGAATGCCCCCCCCCCGTCGACAAACTGCGCCAATTTTTTTACTCACTATAAAGATAAAACGGAAGAGAGTAACTAGCTAGAACACCAGAAGGAATAAGGCCGCAGTTCTGATCCTAATTGGTGGAAGTAGTCACCCTAATTGATGTAAACCTGACCAGTCGGCACTGCAGTTGTTTACTCAACGTTCTTATTAGCCTGGCAACGCTGTCAACAAGAAGTTGCATGAGAGCTATTGCTCATGCTATAGTGCTTATTAGTCACATGGGTCCTATTATTAGGTGGTGGATCTCTCTCCACGGAGACCAAGGTAAGCAGTGTATCCCAGAGATAGGAAGTCCGTAATCGCCTACTTCATTCAAACGAAGCGGCAGCTGCGCTTCTGGAGGATAGCAGTTTCAGAACGTTGCAATAACGGCTTTGCCCAGTACAGGATAGGATAGCACTTGCATCAAGTGGAAGTATTCCACAGCTCAAGTTATGTACGCCGCCACGCCCACTCCATTGCCGCGATATGGAGCGTACTTGGTTTTCCAGTCTAGGGAAATTATCTTCAGGATTGTAGAGGTTCTTGAGTGGATCAGCCTCAAACTTTTTCCAACTGATCGGGCTCTCGCGAAGGCGAAACGTTAGCGGAGTGAACTTATACCGATCTTGGAAGCCTCGATAAAGACTGTTCGTACTGTATTGAGCAATTTTCATGGGTCTTGAATGGCGGAGACTCGCTCTTCATTTTGGTTAGGACTCTAGGACACATTGCACAGTTACTTGAGTTTCAGGGTACAGGGTGGGCGGGTCCGAAGCTCATAACGCACCACTTCCGCCATTTGAAAGTGATTGACAAGAATCGCTAGGCCTTTTGAATAACTGATGTCGCAGCACTAGCCTGGTGTACTGAATAGCCAGTGCAGGGATCAGATACAGTTGGTTTCGCTGCAGGCGCGAGGGCATCAAAGGAGGATGGGATTGACGGGGCGCCCAGAGTGTTCTCCACCAATTGTTGAAGCGGGCTAACGTCAACAACTGGGAAAACGTGCTGGCGCCGTGCCGAACCTAGCCCACGCTTGGCACGCTCCAGCGTCTGCAGCGAAAACGATTACAGCTACACCAGTCTGGCAGTTATGCGCGTTCAGTCCATGGCTGTGACTCGACTTATGCCCCTTATAAGCCCTTTAAGCTGTTATCACTTCCTGCCACGCACCAATGATGTTCATGTCCAGCCCTCTATATCACTTCTTGGAACCAACGTTCCAACTGCTGCTGTGACCCAGTTTTGGTGACCCTCCCATTTAAAAGCCCCTTGGAAAGCTCCTGTCAAGCTGTTGTGCCTCCTACCACCCACCAATAGTGTTCCTGGCTGACCTCCTACGTCACTTGTCAGTTTGAACTCTCTAGGCCTGATTTGAAGAAAGTTATGAATTTCACACACACACACACACACACACACACACACACACACACACACACACACACACACACACACACACACACACACACACACACACACACACACACACACACACACACACACACACACACAACAACCCACCCAACAGACAAACTGAGCCAATTATATGGTAGGATAGCTGAGCGCAAACGATTAGAGTCAACGGACGGGCCAGATGTGACCGCTCCACCGCATACCAACCCCCTCCTCCACCCGAACTACGCTATAGTACTATCCGAGATGCCTATAATCAATGGTTACTTACCAAAAGAAGAGAAATCCGGTGCAACGTTGATTTTTAGTTTCAATCTTCGTTTGATTTCTTTCCGCCATAGTCGAATAGGAAAAGAAAGATCACGCCATCTTACACTGAAAGCATTTACTAAAAGTTCCTTTCACATGGTGGCCTTAAGGCAGTGGGCACGATTGCTGGGGGGGGAGGGGGAGGGGGTGGTTGGTCATCACTGGTGGAAAGGCTGAGTGGGGTGTGACTACATGCCCTCTCGCAGTCCTTCCACCAATGACGCTGGCAGCAACCATCCGCCCCAGCAGTCGTTCCCACCAACTGGGACAAGAATGGACTCCTCATGAACGTGCTGGTGAGGAGGCAACTTCTAAGTTGCTCCTCTACCCTTGTGGTGAGGGCCATGAACTTCAATACTGACGATCAAGCTCTCGATACAAGAAAAACTTACTCGGATTTCCGCAAGACTTTTTCTTTCTTATTCAATACTGACACCGTAATCATGCCAGTTTCCACGTCATGAGGGAGTGCTGTGATCAGTGCGGCCACCGCAGGGCCATCAGGTAATTCGTTCACCATGCACTGAAACTTCGGATACCCTATGTGAAACTGAGGTGATTCTGAGAAGAATAAGTTTTGACCAGCAGTTAGAAGTAGCAAGGTAGGTAGAAGTAAGCAGATGTGTAAAAAAAAAAAAAAAAAAAAAAAAAAAAAAAAAAAAAAAAAAAAAAAAAAAAAAAAAAAAAAAAAAAAAAAAAAAAAAAAAAAAAAAAAAAAAAATAACCGATATCGGCCCGTGAGTGGGTCCGCGGCTAGCGTGCCACTTTCCCTGGTCAAAAGTGCATGGAAACGGGGCTGGAGGCTAGTGACACCCGTGTGCCGTTTCCCGATTCCGCCTGCGTTGCCATCCACCGCCTGACCACAGCCAAAAGAGCGACTGATCTGCGCCTTCTCTCTTCTGAGGTTGTTTCACGCTGAATGCGTGTCCCGCGGCGGTACGTTGGTATCGACGCAAGTGTTGCACCTTGAATATAGTGGGTGGAGTATGGAGACAGCACTCGGGCACCGCTGCCCTACAGCTACGTTGCCGTGGAATTTCTCGCGGAAAATGTCGCACGCTAGCTGCGGACCCATTCGCCTTACACATAGCAGGAATGTTCTCGAAGGTGAGTGTACAGTTGGCCCTCAAAGGCAGTTGGCACGATAAATCCCCAAGACGCGACTAACACTAAGGATCAATACTTCCTGCCAGGGTAGAATTCGCGCGACCATTAGGCAGGCGCTGATAGGCGGGTTCCCCGAGGAAGATGACCTTAAGGGCCCTAGTCAAGCCCACAGCGTTACGTCACCGTACACCGCACACGCCGCCCGCCCACAAATGGACGACGTTCCTGACGCTCTAATCGATTCATTTGCTAAGCAAATTATGAAGCGAAGGGATTGGTATGAAGCGGCCGTGATGCTGCATGCATACATGAATACACATATGCAGCCGTATCTTCGGTAGCGGTGATTGGTAAGAATCCGAAATCGATTTTCAAGTCACTGAGAACGGAGGCTTTTTCTTCGCAGGATTTTGACCGTTTCACTCCGTTCTTTCGCCATTTCCCCACTATACAGCGCCCTACTAGCATTTTAGGCTAAGTAGGAAACCATCGTGCCAACTGCCTTTAAGTCTGCATGAGGTGTCTGTTTAGAACGAACTCGCAAGCGTAATTGTAGACAAGTTCTTAGAAGCAACAACCCCTTGACTTGAGGTCTACCAAAGATGATTGTCCTTACTATGCGGTTTTTATGAAGAAGTGCTGTGGAATCACATGACTTACTTTAATAGTATTTTGAAGCACAGTAAAAACATGAAATATCTGGAAGCTCGTAGATACCTTGTGGCCGACTTCAAGTGAACTCAGTGAGAGGACAGCTTCAACTGGAACTGACTTCACGACATTGTCACTGACGAACCTCACTTCGTAGCCGAAGATTCCATTCACACTGCAACTTACTTATTGTTGCCCAGTGTCCATAATGAATGGATTCACTGTGTCAATCAGGGGACTTCCTACGTTTGGGATCCCAACGAGGAGGCGGCACGTCGCTGGACGGTGGTTGGGGGTTGTATTACGTCTGGGGAGTTCTTCTCGATAGTTGATTTTTCCTATTTCACGGGCGCTACTGACATCGTTGGTAGAAGTTCAATGGGGCGGTAATATTTGCTCGCCGTTTGGAGAGGGGATCATATTGCTTTTGGGAGAAATTTAAGAGAACTTAAAATTTTGCGAAAAGAATTTTTCCGCACACAACCAAGTGTAGTTTTTCCTAGCTAGTTTGCTCGCTACCTGAACATTGCAATGTTGAATCAACTGGATGTGTTCGCGCGTGCTAGCAGAGCATATCCTGGTTAGTTGACTGGACAAACACAATACAGAGAGAGAGCTAGATTTTTAGAGAGACGCAGTAGCGGAAAGACCGGGAAGTCCGCTGGGGAGGGATTGCCCTCTGACTTCGCTTCGTCGTCGGCTTCACTCCCAGAAAGAGCACCACAAGCAGCTCAGCTGGCAGGTAGCAATATCTGCGAGGCGCTTTGCTACCATTTAGTAAAAAAAGATTGGGCATTTTGTACCATAGTATGGTGGTGGAGCACAAAAAAATGCAGGCTTTTTAAATAAAATCTAAGTCACTATAAGTAAGCTCTCACAAAATGTATCTGATCAAAGTAGTAGCCATTACAATCAACGCCTTTTTGCTAATAAGAAACGCGCTTTTCAATGCGAACATCATAAAGGTTAGAGTTCTGGAAGCGATAAACCCCTCGAAGGCAGCTTGCACGTCATCATGAAGTGTTTCTCACGCAAGTAGTTGTCCTGGTGCTAAAAAATCAGCAGGCGAAGGATTTGGCGAGTATGGTGGATGATCCACAGTTCCGTAGTTCAACTTATGCAACTTTGCCTTGTAACCAAATAGATGCGAGGTCTAGCGTTATCATGCCGCTTTTCTACCTATCAATGCCGGG